AGATGGAGATGCTTTTAATCAGTAAAGTACCAATTGTGTTTGTTTCACCTTCATAGCTGAGCTTAGCCAGACTGAGCCTGGTGTCCTCCTGGTTTCTGTCATTTCAAGTCCTGTGCAGTTTCAGGCTTTACATTTATTGTGTTTGCAGTGCTTCAGTAGTTCCGTTCTTGGCACCTCAATAAACATTTTGTGATGTTCCCTCTCCATCTCATCCTGTATGGCTTCTAGACTGCTGTGTGTAAGGAAATGAGGAGTAGATTACATCCAATTTGTCTTTACTTGCTGTTGTTGTTTGTTGGGCAAATATCAAGCCAGAAATTATCCTTATGTGTAACTAGCTATTCAGTTACATAATTAAGTGACAGAGCATCTCTCCAGTCTTGTTCTCTCCTGGGATTTCATCTTATCTTGCTGCTCCATGATGTAAAAGGGATATGTTTTTCCTTCTATCTTTCTTAAAAGGGATATGTTTTTCCTTCTACTGGGTCTTACTCCTTGTTATCTCTCAGGAAAGAATTAATATCTTCATTTTTGGTTACACATGTGATTTTAAGCTGCTTCAGGTGGATGTGTGGAGTGTTTTAAGCGCTGTGATCTTCTTTCTATTCTCCTTTAACTGTAAGCATAGTCCTGGTATTAACTGAACGTAATAGCCTATGTTATGAAAATTTCTATCACTGCTTAAATTTCAAGAGTTGATGCTTTTTTTATGTGTTTAAAAGAAAAACTTAAATCCTAAACCGTTACTAATTCAAAATAATTTTTTTTTATTTCAAAAGTTCAAACCACAGAATGTTAGAGGATCTAGCATTTTTTTAATCTGGTTCTTGTCACTGTCGTGTTCAACATGTAATTGGAATTTCACTTGATTTCATTTTCTCTTAGGCCAAGTTGCAGCAGACAAATTCTGACTTTCTTGTTCAGCCTCCTCCTCCTCTTCCTCCCGCTGAAATGTCCTTGCAGAGATCAGAACCGTGCACTGAGAATGCGGAAATTAGTGCTGTGCAGCTGGTTAATTCATTAGCCTTTCTGATTCCTTATGGGAGTTAAATTTCTGTTGGAAAGGAAGGAATACCACAGTGGGATTCTTGAATGCTGTGCTAATCAAAGCTGGCATGCAACTTGGGTCTCCCAAATCCTATATTTTTGAGAGAAAAGATCATTGCCCTATTTAGTCACAGTACTGCACCAACATAATTTTCTGAGTAATTACAAAAAAAATAGCCTACTGTATCTTTTCCTGGTAGGATATTGTTTGATATTAATTAATTATTTTTTTAACAGACGCTTAGCAGAGGCTTGGTATGCTTTCTTTGCTGTCTTAGCACATTCTCTTCAAGGGCTGATTCAGTTTTGCTGCTTGGTGTTTTGACAGCCTGGCTTCTGACATGACATGGATAAAATGATGGTGGCAGTTTTGGTTTTATATAGCTTACAGATAAATCTTTTGTGCATATGAGACTTGATTTGGGAAAAAAGCCCATAGATTTTAGACTTCTGCTCCCTATAGCTGTCTGTCAGTTCCAAAATCTAACCTGTGCATTTTGAAGTTCAGGTTGTTTAGCTGGAATGTATCAGGAGCAGGAAAGCTGAATGCCATGCCTTTAGGCCGGATCTGGCCTCCTGATGTGTTCAGGGGCCAGTCCTGTTTAATATCTTTGTTGATGATCTGGACAAGAGGGTCTAGTGCACCCTCAGTTTGCAGGGAGCACCAGATTTTGTGGGAATGTTGATCTGCTCAATGGGGTGATCCCAGCAGGGTGAAGCTCAGCAAGGCCCAGTGCCAGGTCCTGCCCTGGGGTCACAGCAACCCCTGCAGTGCTACAGGCTGGGACAGAGTGCCTGGATAAAGCTGCCCAATGGAAAAGATCCTGGGAGTGCTGATTTGACAGCAGCTGAGCATGAGCCAGCAGTGGGCCCAGGTGGCCAAGAAGGGCAGTGACATCCTCCTTGTATCTGCAATAGTGTGGCCAGCAGCACCAGGGCCGTGATGGTCCTTCTGCTCCTGGTGAGGTCACACTCAGAGTGTTGTGCTCAGTTTGGAGCCCCTCACTACAGGAAATGCATTGAGGGGTGTCCAGAGAAGCTGGGAAGGGTCTGGGACACCAGTCTGGTAAGGAGCAGCTGAGGGAGAGAGCTGGAAATGTGGGGAAAACAAGGCTGGAAATGTGGGGAAAACAAGGCTCAAGGGAGACCCCATCACTCCCCACACTCTCTACCACCTCCTGAAAGGGTGGGGGTCAGTCCCTTCCCCCAGGTAACAAGTGGTGCAACAAGAGGAAATAGTTTCAAATTGTGCCAGCAGAGACTTAAATTGGATATTGGAAAAAATGTCTTTACTGAAAGAGTGGTCAGCCATTGGAACCAGAGCCCAGGGGAGTGGTGGAGTTGCCCTTTCTGGAAGTATAAAAAATCCATGTGAATGTGGCACTTAGGGCTGTGGTTTAGTGATGGACATGGCAAGGTTGGATAATGGTGAGAGTCAATGATTTTGGAGGTCCTTTCCAAACTAAATGATTCTATGATTTATCAAGATCCAATAACAGATTGTGCAGAATTTAGCTTATGGTTTGGAAATAGAAGTAAAATTTCTAATTCTTGGATACTGAGAGGACTGACTAGATTCAAAATGTGCTGCTTTAAGTATCCAGAAATAACAATTCTCCGAAGAGGACTGCTAAGCCTAATTACAGATTTTCCAAGTCAAATTATTAAATAACTTAAATGCATTAATATACACAGAATTTAATTGTGCACATAAATTAGGGCCAGAAGGCTTTGGAGAGTAATGAAGATGCATATTCTATATCCTTCCCTCCTATCCTGAGTGAGGCAGAATTTCATGCTCTGACTAATGCAGTGATGTATACAATTCCCAGCTAATACTTACATCTGACTCATGATCTCTGTAAATCTGAAGAAAGCATCTACCTTATTGTAACTCCAGCCCTCAGTCCAAGTTGCACTTGTAGTTCAGTCTGCATTAGTTTTTAGTTTATAACCACTCCTCTCCAATTTATTTTCATTTCTACATGTCATGTAGGATGCTCATTTTACATTTTTATATTAATGAAATTATTTCTTTTGTGAAGTGAACAAAATGTTCAGTAAGAGTGAGAAAGGAAATCCATCTTCAGAGGAGTTCAAGCTGCAGACTGAAGTGTAGGCCATGCTGGAGCTGTGTATTACTGTTCCTCTATTAAGAAAGAAACCATGCTTACTGTCAAGTTTTTTGCAGTATTTAGAGCTGGAAACAGGATTTGGAAAAGGGCAGGTTTCTCAGAGATACAGGAATTAGTTGTAGTGGAAGAGGGAACTGTCAAATACAGTAGTTTTCAGTGAAAATTTTGGTTTTGAGTAATATGGAATCTACTGTAGGACTGCCATCATTTCATGTGGGTTCTTTCTGTAATGGGAACAGGAGTCAGAATTGGAATAATGTAACGTCAGAATTTTCATTGTGTCATCATCATCATTGTTGCTAAGCAATTGTTTTAATATTTTCACTTAGCTAACAAGTGAATAATTGGGGAAAACAAGATTGCATCTTTTCTCATTGGGTGAGAATGCATTGTTTGGGTTGGGCATTTTGCTGTCTTTGGCATCCTGAGGTGATCCAAACACCGCAGGTTGAACCTGTACAGCTTTTCCTTCTTAGACCTGTCTTGAATGGACTGACTTTGGGAATAAACCTCTGATCTAAAAAGACCTTGAGCCTCTCCAAAGAAGGACAATGGAGCTGGAGTAGGGGCTGGAGCAGAAGTTTTATGAGGAGCAGCTGAGGCAACTGAGGGAATATTTAGCCTGGAGAAAAGGAGGCACCTCATCGCCTTGTCTCTTCTCACAAGTGACAGGACAGGAGGAAATGGTGGCTTCAAGTTGTGCCAGGGAATGTTCAGATTAGATATTAGGAAGAATTACTTAATTGAGAAGGTTGTCAAGCTCTGGAACGAGCTGCCCAGGGATGCCATTGAGTCACCATCCCTGGAGGTACTTGAAATACATGTAGGTGTGGCTCATAAGGACATGGTTTAGTGGTAGACTTGACACTGTTAGGTTCATGTTTTGACTTTATCTTAAAAGTCTTTTCCAACCTAGCCAATTCTATGATTGTTTGCCAGCTTGAGCTTTGAGTCTGGAAGAGTTTGAGTGCTCAAACCCTGTGCACAAGTAACTTGGAAGTAGGATTCATTTTTTGAAGTGATTAGGTTCAGTGTTTAGTGCAGCCAATTGAGTAACTGTCGTGACTAGGTGGATTTGGGGTTTCTGCACAGGACAGAACTAGGTGGGTGGATGGAAGGGCATGGTGATCTCAAATAAATACATTCCACGATGGGCAGAATTTATGAATCCTAGTACCTTGACTCTAGTGTTCTGTGTCCCTCTCCTCTCTTTATCTCTCTCCAACCAGAGCAGTCACAGAAGATCAGTGTCAAAGAGATATTTGAACTGGGCAGCAAACTGTACATGTGGTGCTATGTGTGGAACTGTGGGTATGCAAGTTTGCTAGCCACCTGCTCCCAAAAGACGTCTTAAAAGCATGATTTCTGCCTGAGCCTCTCTCAGTGGAGAGAAGGGCAGATGAATGATTAATTTATACTTTCATCATCTCAGATGCTCATGTTCATGAAATATGAAAGTGGCTATTTCTGAGTTTCTAGACTTCTGTTGAGTATGTTTTGAATTGGCTGTTGGATTCAGAAGTTAGGGGAGAAGGCAGAAGTAGAATAAGTTACTCCATACTCGCTTAGGAAAGCAGGCTTAGTATTGCAGTTTTTAGGTTATGGTCTGTGCATTGTTGGCAGCTGTTAGAAACAGATCTGCAAAGGAGGCTCCTGCAGTGTCTCCCAGAGACTGGGCTGGCAATCATGTTCCTCAAATTGCCCATTTCCAGTGCTGCCTTCTGACAGGAGGAGCAGCATGCTTTGTGTACATGTCTTTGCTTGTTACTGCTGGCTGGGTTTCTTGTAGCCTTCCTTAAGGTGATCATTTCACTTACTATGCCAAAGGCCCTTGGAATTTTTGGAGGTAGATCAGTGTGGATGCAGGCGCCCCCAACATAGGGAATAATGTGCTCTGACTCCATGATTCAGGAGGCTGAACAATTGTTTATTAAGCTATACTATATTACACGAATACTATGCTATATTAAGAGATGTTATACTAAAGAGATACTACAGAAAAATCTGCGACTGTCTGGCCACAGTCACAACACAGCTTTTGCCAAATTGGCCAGTCAATCCAAACAACCCTCACAGGTGTCCAGTTAACAAATCACTTTGAGTAAGCAATCTCCATAACTCATTCCACGTGTGCCAAACAGGAGGAGCAAATAGAGATAAGAATTGTTTCCTCTTCTTCTCTGAGCTTCTCACTGCCTTCCCCAGCAAAGATACTGGGAGAGAGAATTATGTCTCTCTCTGTTCAGACAATGTGAATACCACAGGTCAGGATCTTATAAATTTTCACAAGAATATTAAGATCTTCATCTTGACTTAGGTTGCTGAGTGAAAATTGGGCAGTGAGGGAGAAGAGAGATGGAGATGAGGATTTAAGTCTCCATAAAATCATAGCAGAGTTTGGATACCAGTGTTATGTGATTCCCTGTACTTTGATCTCTTGTGTGAAGACAGAAGAATGTGTTGCTGAAATAAGAGCTGAGTCTCATGCTATGAAATGGTGAAAGATCACAGCTTTAAGCTCAGCTGTGTAGGAGGGAGGACCTTTAGAAATTACCTTGAACATACGCATATTAATATGTGTATACTAGAGCTAATATATATATGTTTATGTTTAATGTTCTCTTCACTGCTTTTTCCAAGACCTTTAACTGTTCATATTTTCATGGCATGAGATGCCTTCCATTTGCCTTCATCCTCATGGTGATTTGTATAATGTGACATTTCAGAGACCTGGCAAACAGGAAACCACTTCCCACGTCTCTGGGCATGGAAACTGCTAAAACTGGAACTGACAACTGCAGGTAGTGCATTGAGTGTCAATATTTTTCTCCTGTCTCCTAAAAGGATAACTGATCCTTGACCACAAAGTGTGGTTACTGTTTTCTGCTGCAAGATATGGGAAAGTGATTTTTTTGGGGTTTTTTTGACAACTAGCTTTAGCAGGGACTTCTGAGCACATAAGAAGATTGTGAATGTAATTATGGGGGTGCCTGGCCCTGAGGGTCTCAAGGAAGCTTTTTGGAAGCTGAATGTGTGCTTTAGTGACATAGCTGCCTGTGAGGATGATGGTACTCTGGTTTTGTAAATACTTGTCATAATATGGCTGGTTTTCTGTATGTTTTTTGTTTCTTTATTAAGCAGGTTGTGGTTTGACTGAAATGTGTACTAGACCTGGCTATTTATTTTTGAATAAACTTTTCTTGGATGGAAACTTTACTGCTTACACCTCCCAGCTGAGTTTGGTACTGAGTGTTCTGGTTTTTTAATGTAATTCATTTTGAGGAAATAATAAGCAAAACCACTTGTGGGTTAAAGATTTGATGATCTGATGGGCCAGAATGGAAAGTATTGCTGGAAATAACCTCAGATGTTACTGTTGAATCTGTAGAAAGCTTACGTGGCCATATGCTTTTAGCTTTTTCCAAATCCTAATTAATAAAGAATGAACATGTGTATTTGTGTGAACGAATAAAATCTAGGATCATCTCAAGCTGAAATGATGCCAGGTGTTTAACTTTGCAAGGAGGGAGAATAAGAAGCTAGAGGAAAATATCTTTTGTGTCTAGTTTCAGCAGTTGAGAATAAATTTAATTTATGATATTATGGCTGAGACAAAACTGCTGCCAGCACTTAGTGTACCTTTCCCTAAGCTGGTTTTCCTGGAACAGGTATTGCCAAGGTCTGGAGTCTGGGTGTCTGCTGGGGCCCTGTACATGGTGCCACAAACCAGCAAGTAAGAGCAAAATCTCTTTCACCTGCTTTGTCTTTGAGCATCTCCAAGGGTTCCCTTTTTAACTTTTCTGCCTGTTGGGGGCCAGTGTGTTATATTAGAGGAGGCAAACCACTCTTATTTGATCCTAGGATGGCAGTGTTAGAATAGCTCAATCTCTTAGGGCAAGAAGTGCATACACAGATTTTCTTCCAGTTTTACTTGCACAGGAAGAGCAGCCTCTGTTGCCTTCCCAGCTGAGGCTGAAATAACCACAACTGCTGCAGGTGTCAGAGCCTTGATCCTCCAACATAGAAGTGAAAATGTCTGTGACCATTTTTCATTTGAGTTTTGCAGGTGGAAGCATCATAAAGGATAAGTTTAGGTGGTAGGGGGGGACAACTTCCAGTGCAGTATGTGCTTGGAAATTTATCTCACATAATTTTTGTCAGCAGTGATAAGAATTTGAGGCATTCCACAGCAGCAAGAACTGTCCTACTGTGCTCTTAATCTCCATTAGCAGGGCTGCACTGGTTGTTAAAATGTGTGTAGTTTTGGAGGCCCAAGCAGGTCTTGGGAGTGCAGCTGAGGATAACCACAGCCTAGGCTGCTAAAGAAAATTCTTAGCTAGCTGTAGGAGTCCAAAGCAGCTCAAAATAGGTTTTTCATTTGGTTTCATCCTTTCTGTAGGTATTGTGGGAAGCAGCAGGGGACGGAAGGACAGGATGAAATGGCCTCATGAAGTAAAGAGTGGCATGTTGGTGATGGGGATGACTTTCTTGACTTTACACTTGTATGGAGATTTGTACTGAATGCTTTTACAATGTTTATGGTAATAACTAATAAACTTTTATAAGTTCTTTCTCCTTTCTCATGGTTGTAAGAAGATGTGGAAACCAATTTTGGGGAGCTGAACATCAGCTGTGATTTGCTTACAGGTGGAAATGCTGCTTGGTTTATTTGAGTCTTTCGTAACATTTGACTTGTTATTCCCGTTGTAATCAAGGACTGAACAGTGTGGCCTTTGAAAGGGAATGGGCAATGCTGGAAGGAAAAAAAGGGAATTTGGAGGCTTGCCTCACTTGAGAAAGGTCCCTGACAGCACAGCTAGACAAGTTGTGCTTCTATAATGAGTTTCTGTGGTTGTTCAGAGATGCTGTAAATAACACATTCACCACAAAGGATGCACAACTGGTGACTAAGTCCTTCACATACTGCTTTCAAACACTGCTCCCTTTCACTGCCAAGTTCTCAGTGGTGTGAAGTTGTTTGTATATGCTTTTATCCAGCTGAATACAGAACATATTGTTCTGTTGCTCTTCTAGTTTCATGCACTTTGCTTACTACCCATGGGCAACTAATGGCCAGTTAGGATTAGGGAATTCCCTATAATAACTAATTAAAATCCCCACTCAGTGTACCTTTAAGTGTGTTAGTTTACCTTTTCCTTGGGAACTTCATGTTCATGGTGAATATATTATATTTTCGTATCTACATCCATATATCAATATAATATANATAATATAATATAATATAATATAATATAATATAATATAATATAATATAATATAATATAATATAATATAATATAATATAATATAATATAATATTTTTGATTTTGCATATCCTGGAGAAGTTCCCTTCTCAAGTAGCAGGAAAGTTTGGATGTTCATAAGCACAGCCTATTGAGGAAATAGGTCGGAAAGAAGTCTTAAAGCAAGAATCTGCTGAAATTATAATTCCTGATGTGGTTCTTTTAACTGTTCTTAAAGACCTGTAGTGATGGAGGGTTCTGGATCATCTGGAGCAATCCTTTCCAATACAGACTGGCCTTTGGAAAACATCCTCATGGCTATTAGTGAATTGCTGAGCTATCCAGTATAGATGTGGAAAAGAGATTATTCCTCCTTTTTATAATTTTACATAAGCTTGAGAACAATTGGCATGTTTTATTCTGCACCTTCTCTTTAGACTCTAATAATTTTTCTTTTAGGATGATTAATCCCAACTTTATCTTGGTTTTTTCCTCATTGGAGCACCTCTGTCCCTCCATTCTTGTATTTTTCTTTGGATTATTTGTAATTAGACCATATTTTTCCTTAAATTGAGCATCTAAATCTAGACAAAGTCACACAAGAAGCTCATTTAATTCCTTTTCTAGTATCATAGCGTGAAACTGCCCACTTGGGTTTGTGTCCCTTCCTGAAGAATATTGTGCAGTCAACTGGATCAGAGACACTGAAAGCACCTAAAGCACTTTGGGGGCTCTGCTTGGGACTGCTAAGCTGAGTTGTCCCACTGTGGTGGCTGCCATGTAATGTTGGCCCTGCAAGAGAAAATCTGCACAGAAAAGAAAATTCTTACTCCAAATTTTGAATAAGGCTCAGGTCATTGCAATTGGAAATGTTTAAATAATGTGCATTTGAAAGCAAAGCTCAAGCTATCATACTTGCAGTGTTTTTTCTCTTTTCATTTTAATTAGCAGATGTTTTCTGTACCACATCCTTTCCTGGGCAGTCCAGTATTAGGTAATGAACTGAATTCTCTCTGTAGTTGAAGTTCTGTGTGCAAACCTCCCCAGGTCAGGATAACAGCACTTGACAGATGTGTGAATACCTGTGTCAGGTTAAAAGCAAAGGATAACTAAGCTCCTGTACTCCAAAGTCTTTTCTTTAGACCATTTTGAGCCCCATCTCTTCCACTTTAAAAGAATATAGAAACTTCCCTGTGTTTTCAGAACAATTTATTCTAACTATTCTTTGGGGAAAAAACCCTGCTGAAGTGTTTTTTTTTTTCTGTCCAGGGAGTGGAGAAATTATATTTGTGCCTATCTCTATATTCGGTCAGTTTATAGCAAGAGAGTATTCATGGGATAGTGGGAATGTTGCAGTGGGATATAATTAGGCTGAATGTCCACTCTCAAGTGACTGTTTGTTGTGAGGGAATTGAAAGCACAGCGAATGAAATAGAGTAAATTGTAGCTCATAACATGTGTAAGACTGACCTGCTTTCCTTTAGCATAAATAAAAATTTTATGCTCGTTTGACAATACAGGCCAAAGTAGTACAGAGTGTGTGTGCTGTGATCCATAAACAGTGGCCTTTTTTGAAAACAAACACCTAAATATTGTGACTTGGGAAAAGCCAAGCTTTGATAAGGGGAAAAAAAAAGCCCTATGCATAGTGCAGCCACTTAAATAATTGAAATGAACTTCATACAGAAGACTTTATTGGTTGTGGCTGCTCTTCTCCATAGGAAAGTATTTCCTCATGAGATAATTTTATTTATTTATTTCTATTTGAAATAGTTGCTTCAAGAAATTTTATTGTGAGTGTCTCAGCACTTTTGGTGGTTTCTAAGGTGTGGGCATATATTTATTTGTAATGTTATTTCTTGGGATTACATTATTAGAAAAAAAAGCATCAACTGTCAACGAGGATCTTCAATTTAGCCCTTCCACCTGAGAAAAGGGAAGGATTCCAATGTACAGGAGCTGGGGTTGGCTCTTAGTAGAATGTTTGATTATACCTGATATGCTTTCCTTTAGCAGCCTCTGTCCTTTAAGGCAAGTGTGGATTTTCGAACTTTCTAAGGGATATACAAAGGAGCATTTATGTACATTGTAAATACTCCATCACAAACAACTGATAACTTACTAGAGAACATTAGTGTGTTTTCCCCTTTCTTTTGAACCCATTTCAGGTTCAAATAGGACTCTTCTGAGCAGTAAGTTTCTTAAGACTGATACACTGTGGAAATTATCAGATGAGTGTTATTTCTTTATCCAATGTATTTTAACAATACTGTGTATTTTATCATTATCTTGGATAAAAGTGGAAGTAGTTAATAATATGTACAGTCATTTTCATTTCATTTTTGTTTGGAGACATTGTGTTGATGAGCCAGTTTTTTTGAAAAATCAACAGAAGAAGCCTGCAATTATTTTAAATTGTGCTAAGCATGCAGTAAAGCAAAATAGCTCTGTGATCAGAAAGGGATTTGTTCTTTATCTTGGAAGATCATATCTATTTTCAAATTATAAAATGTGCATCAATCTCGTCTCTACTTTGTGTTCTTATTCTTGAAACTCAG